TACCTACATTTGATATTAAAGATAAGTTTTTATAGATTTTAATGTGTTAAGTATATCGTATAGCAGATGACTGTAGCATAAAACAAGATTTATGTCTCAAATTGCAAATAATTTTTTGTTTATAATTCAGTAATGGAGGACAGCATTCCTGTCAGCCTCGTTAGCCATCGTAGGAGTCCATGTAAGCGTGCCTCTCGGTACCTGGTGAAGTGGAGGGAGACACAGGATGATGGATGCACCAATCTGTTCGTTGTTTCCATTTTGTGCCCACATGGTATTTGTTTAACTCCGGTTATAGTATTCTTGTGTATGGAAGCTGAATATGTTGATTCCTTGAAACATCATTTGTACAGACAAAGTGTGCCGCTTTTTAATGCTGCTAATCTATAAGCAAGCCCGTATTGTAATTTGGTTTCTGCAAACTTTTGAACCATCTTAAGGAACTACAAATGCTTTGATGCATCTCATGGTTAGCGTAACCAAATACCACCTTGTCACCGTCACTCTCACTGAGTTGGTCTGGATGTGAACTTGAGAAATAATATGATGGATAGGTGGAAATCTAAGTGAGTAGGTTCCCTTCTCCTTTGCAGGGAAGGCTAAGTACATTCTCTTCTTAGTATGTTGGTTTATTACATGAAAACAGTTACCTATGACACTGACAGCCATCAGATATTTTACTGTGGACAGATTTTAATTTCTCTGAGGTCTCTGTAGCATAAGGCTTAAATATACACTTTAAATATGGCAGCTGACCATTTAGAGCTTTGCTTGTTCTGCTCTGCAGGATCCCAGGGGATGTTAGTCACAGGGTTGGGTCTTACTTGAGCTTGAGATGACATGGCAGGGAGGAAGAAAACTCAGAAGAGAACAGGTCTTACCCCATCCTCATCTTCAGCTTCCTTATGTCAGTGGTTCAAGGTGTGTGTGTGTGTACATTTAATATAGCCATAATTACAGGGAATGTAACATCTTATTGATTCATAGATTTTTGTGGATGTGTGCATGAGGTTTCTACTAACTGCTGGTTGTTCAGATGAAAGTAACTTGATAAAACATTTTGGCCTGTAATCGGTGTCATTCACACTAGTAATGGTAGCAACTAACTAAATGTGGTTAGTTCAGCCTACTATATGGAAATAGAGTTGGTCCCGTCTTGTGCTTTGGTCAATCCCTGGTTTATTTTGAATCTTTCTCATATTCCTACATCACCTTTTTGGTTATGAGTGGAATTGATCTAAGTACCAGTAGTTGAGTTTATGCAATGCAGTACTCTCTTTTTGTATGAGTGACAACTAGGAAAAAATGTGGAATGTATTTTATCTAATTTTAGCAGCCTGCAAGGTGGCTTGTAGGTAGACTGCCTCTTCAGCCAGCAGAGAGACGGGCACAGTCAGAGGGTGCCGTATCCCGTTTGCAGTGCCTGTCTCTTGGCCACAGCCAGGATCTGGCCACCTGATCTGGGCTGTCTAAGGTGAGATGATCAGTCCCATCCACTGGGAACAACTGTGTTTAACAGTATAGCTGCACTGATCCAAAAACCCTGTCATAAAGAGACTGCATCGATGGAAGAATGCAGTCTCAGTTACGTAAAATACGTAAGTGCAACTTGACTATAATTTAGAAAAGCAGCTGCCTGCTGGTATATGATTTAATTTTCAGTGCAGTTTAGTTGCAGGGTTTTTTTTAATCTTAAGACTCATCTGTATTTTTAATACATTTAAAATAATGCAATAACCACGTTGCATGCCACTTCTAACTTCACTCCCATTTCCCCAAAGTGTTCAGGTGTCGTTATTGCAAGGCAGGAGGCAGAGCATCTCGGCTGCTGGCACTGCTGGGCTTTGGCAGGCAGCACATGTTGTCTGGGTGAAAAGACGACTGAGGGAATTTAATATTGTAGCATCCATAAAAAATGGGGGCGAGACTGTGTAAAGCTTTCTTATGGATGGAATTTACACTAATGCATTTTATTGTTCCGTCTAAGCAGATCAAATGATAAGCATAGTGTCACATACACATTTGTGACGTTTCTGTTAAATAGGTTTCGATATTTAAAGTTTTTATTCTCATACATTTCAAAGCGGCAATTATTTCCAAGAATAAAGATAATTAAATTTGTCTCGATGCTCTCGGGATTAAAGGGGAAAAAGCTGTATTTTAAGGTGTATCACAATAGATGAGGAGTTCTGCTCTGTTGTGCCATTTGAAGTCCAGCAGCGCAGTAGCCAGTCCCGTACCACGTCTGCATGTATTGTCAATGAGCCTGGTAAGAGTTTTAGCAGCGGTAAAAAGTGTTGCCTGTTGATGACATTTCAGAGGCATGCTCAGAAGTGATGCCAAGAATGAGTCTGGTGGCTGGTTTGGCATGGGGGGTAAGTGGGGAGGGGGAGAAAGCCGTAATCCATCTCAGCTGTGTGCGCGCAGGGTTTTTCTCCTGGCTCTGGCTCTCACACGCACGCTCGCTCGTGGGGACATGTGACTTTTGGCCATATTAACAGGTTTCTC